CATATATTCCATATCACAATAATAATTTTTAAATAAAAAATATTTTTCCCTGAATTAGAAAAGTTAGGATTATCACTAAAATTGCTCTAAAACTCAAAACAACAAGAATAATTTAGTGAAGAACACATTACCAAGTTGAGTTACACTCAATTTGTGGTCCCTTTTCCCTCTTACAAGCTCCTTCTGTTCATCTTCTTCCTTTCTTTCCTTTTCAAATTTCTTGCTTTCTTTCGCTAAAAAAATTATCTCTTAGTTTTTCTCATTCCTGAAGAAGTTGGTGTATAGTTTTTCCTAAAAAATCTTTCCCAAATTTATTCCCAAATGAAATCTCTATCAATAATTCAAGAAATAAAAGAAAAAGAAGAAGAGCAAGAACAAGATGAAAAACAATTGAAATTTCCCCCTTTTTTGTTGCTGAAATAGTCGGTTCTTTTCCAAGGAAAAAAAGGAGGGGATGTTTGCATAATATTATCAAAATATCATTAATGAGTCGATATGTTATTTTTTGTATTTTTTATTCAACCATTAGTACTTTCGTATGGCCTTTTTGAACTTCAATTGATCTTAAATTTTAACCCAAGATAAAAGAATAAGTAAGGGGACTTTTTATAATATTTCAACTTGATCCAATAGTCAAATTGTAAGTGATGTTTGATACCATAAAACTGAATAGTGAGTAGTTTTACATAAAAATCCAAATTTATGTACTACTTATTTGGTTAAATCATCAAGATTTTTAACTAATTCATTAAGGATTTTATCCTTATTCATAATAGACCCCCCCTCAAATTTCCTCCCTTTTCACTAAAAAACTATGCAATTTTATACAGGCCTTATATTAGTGGTTAATGCTATTCACTTGTAAAATCATATATTAATTTATTTGGATTTTTCTTGTATTTTTCTAAATATTTTAACCTCAAAGTTACAAAAAAGTCTTCATTTACAATAATTATTTCATTCGATTAGAATGTTTACACGATTTATTACTAGTTAACATTTTGTATATCAATTTTATTATTTTATTTAATCCAAGATTTAAAATAATTCAATTGGGGGATGTCCATCCTGAATCACAATAATTTTTTCACATAATTTAACATTTTTCAATTAAGGTCTGCCTGATCAACACTAGTTAACTAATTTTTTGACCGGGGGTTTGTATTACTAGTTCATGATACTATGTTAACTATTTAGCGGAGTAAATCTAAATATTTTACTAAAAAAAGCTCAAAGTCAAAAGCTACTTATCCTGATATAGCTAGTAATCTACTAAATTCGTATCTCTTAACAAATCTTATGATTGTTTTAAAATTAGTGAGACAATTTCAATTCATGTGGGGGGTTATTGAAATTTTATTTCACTACTATATTTAAAAACATTATGAGTGAGTAATAAATTGACACGACTAAAAGATTGATATCTTCTTCCAAGTGCAGGAGTGTCGAAGTAATAAATAACCCGGCAAGACCAGTGTCGAACCACAGGGAGGTTAATTGTACAAATTATAAACAACAATTATAAAACAACAATAGTAATAATAATAATAGTAGTAGTAGTAGTAGTAGTAGTAGTAGTACTAATAATAATAATAATAATAATAATAATAATAATAATAATAATAAAGAAAGAGAAGAAAAAGAAGATGATGATGATGAGAACTTGGAGATCAAATATTAATGTAAGGATTAAGCAATAATAATAACAAATGTCAAGGTTAGAGGTTCCACTAATGGTATGTCAAACAAGTATAGTATAAACTCTTATTATTGAATTGGAAACCACACACAAAGGAGGTTCCAATCAGATTATATATTGTTAACATGATTACATTAGTCATCTTATTCAATTAATGCTAATACTTGTAAATCTCGTCAAGCATTCATGATTATAACTTATGTTAACAACAAATCAAGTTCCTTTCATAGCTCAGGTGTCGGTTATACCATACATTATGGGCTATGAAAGTGCCAAGCATTTGTTGTACCAAGTGTTATACAACATAAATCAAGATTAGTCATTTAACAAGCAAAGTATTAAAGAGTGAACAAGATAACAAATATAAAACATGTTAGTATCAAACATTAAAGTCTATATTAAGTTTACATTATACTTATTCTTACACCATTAGTGTAACCTTTTCACCTTGACATAACTAACTTAGCTAGACATAATGAAAGAAAGCAAAATAGATAAACAAAATAAGAACATAAAAGTTAACTAAGTAAAAGAAAGGAAATGAAAGGCATAAACTTAATATTAATGAAAGCAAAGCATAAACATTACAAAAAATACAAAGAGAGAAAGGAAGAACATGATCTTGATCTGGAAACCAAGATGCCTAAATGCATGGCAAATGCCTCCTTTTATAGGCCAAAATTGGGAACTATTGATTTGATGACTAATTGATAAGTGGGTGGCCAACTTTTGACTTGGTGACAATCCTTATCTTCTCTTGTCTGCCCAAAACGTCATTGATAACGTCACAATTGGAGCCAGTTGCAAACATGAAAGTTGTAGTAAATTGTCTCAGCTTTCTTGTGTAAAAACTTCAGCTCATTTCGACTTTTAGAACTCCAGATATGGCCAAAATACCGAACAGTGCTCGGGCTGGAAGACAGATTCGGGCTTCTTTGTTGTTGCTACAATTTGGACTTGATAATGGCCTTTTTAGATCTTGGGCTCCATATGAAAGTTGTAGGCCTATGTCTTACCTTTCCATCCATATAAATTGGACCTAAATATGAGATATATAGCTCTAGATATGACCCAATTACCGAACAGTGTTCCGGTTTGGATTGCACCGACATCTCTTTTCTAAGTTTGACCATCTCTTTATCCTTGCAATTTAAGTTCTTCAAGTCATCAATCAATCCTTTCATTTATGTGATAGGCCTGCATTAAAAATAGACATTTACCACAAATTATAGGTATCTTATATTATTAGATACATTATTATAAAACATATTTTAGTTAAGGAGTTATTCATACTTCAAGTGCAAAATGATGATATAAAACCATGATAAAAATGCACTTTTAAGTACTAATCATAAATTAATCTCAAAGAACCCTTGATTTTCCTTCTTAAAAAACCCTTGATAGAACTCTTATTTTTTCTAGATTTAATTCTTAATTTATGGTGTCTAATCAAAGATTGATAATGGTAAGATTACTTTTTATTAATTTTTTAACCTTTTAGCTTTCAAAATTTATTGTAAGAAGAGGTGCGAATAAAGAGTTTCTAACTTTATTTTTTTAATTTTTTGACATTTTTTTTCAACCTTTTTTTTAATGTTTTCATTCTTTTTTATGCTTTGATTTTTTCTCCTAACTCCAAAACTTAGGTTCCTATTTTGTTGAAAAATATTTGATATTTTTTATTTTAGTTCAAAGACCTTATTTAAAAGTGTATTTAAACTAAAATGATGGTGTTGGAATTTTAAAAGACATATTGTAAATATTTTAGTTGTATGAGTGGGGAGCAATAAAGCTTTAAAGATAAAAATTTTATCATTGATAACAATAAAAATTTTATTCATTTCAAGTATTTTAATAAATAAGTACCATTCTTTATTTTAAGCATTATTATTATTATTATTATTATTATTATGCATGCTAGGACTTTGATTTTATATTATTTGCAAGTTTGAATATATTTTTAGCATGCATACTAATATTCTTTTATTTATGTTAAAAACATTTTTTCCTTTAGTTTTAATTTTATATGTTTATAGATTTAAACATATATATACTTTAAGCTTTTCTTGAATATTTCTTTTTATATTTTGTATGCTAATAAACTAAATATTTGTTTTTACTAGTCTAGTATTACTTTGAAATACATATATTTTACTGGCTAGTTCTTTTGTAAGATTTGTGGACTTTTTCAACGGTTTGTTTCAAATTTGTGTAAAAAAATTCATTATCACTCATTTTCTTTTTATTTTTGTGTTGGTATAAGAAAACTATTCCTCTCTTCGTAATTGGCTCTTCTTCTTCTTGTTTTTTTTTTTTAAGTCGCACCCCTTCCCTGCTTTGTCTTTTCTTATAAGAAGAGCCTTTTTCTCTACATATCCTTCTTCCCACACTTAATAGAGGTTAAAAACTTTTCTCTGGATTTAGTTCTCTAAAGGGTTTTAATTATATTTATTTTTTAATATTTCTTATTTTTCTGGTGTGAAAGTTACTAATTATTTTTAAAAAAGATTTTTAAATATGCGGATATTATTTATTTAAAGTTTGTTTGTATGATTTTGCTGGTTTTGAAGGTGGGGAAAGCTAGTGATTTATGCATAGCAAGTTTAGACTTTATGAATAATAATTCTTTTTTTTTATGTTTTTTTTTTAACTCTAGTCCTAATGTTGCCTCTCAATTTGAAATTCATTTCTTGTTATAAGGGTAAGACAATTGTTCATAAGTTAGTATTTTAAGTTTATGTAGCTGTAATTTCTAGATTGTTTTCTGTGTTTTCTCACTATGCTTTCTACTTTATTTATCATAACTTATTTCCATTTAAATAAAATAAAATAAAATAAAATGTGCACGTTAATAAGTTAAAAAAAGCGGAGCTACATTTTTTTTAATCTTAAATTTAATTTCAATATAAAAAAAAACTAAAAGAAATGCATTCATACAATTAAGGGTAAAAAATATACTGAAAAAAATTATTTACATATTTTGCATAAATCTACACAAAAGTAATCTATTCCCGTTAATTTAATTTCTATCCAACTCAATTCAAATGATTATGAACACTAAAAAAAATTATATATTTCTTATGTATTATATATAACTACAATAAAAAAAATGCATAGCTAAATAATAATGATTTATTTCTTAATTTATATATACATTAATTGAATATATTTCTTAGTTTATATTTCAAATCTAAAACCTGATATATTATGGGCCGGAAAAGAAAAAGGAGAAATATTCTTTAACCAGGCCCAAATGCCTCTCCACATTACCTCCAAACCCAACCCAAATAACCTCACTATAAAATCGCTGCACACGTAGATCCCTAAATTCTTTAGTCACCGCACAACCAAAGCCACACCCACAGTGTTTGAAGCTCGCGGCGAGAGCTAGCAGTGGATCCAAAATGAAGGTTTGAATCTAACCAACAAAACCCAGTTTTCATTGATCAGATCTCTTTCGGTTATTTTCGTTTTCATAAGTTTCAGTAATTTTGGTCAAGAAAACGATATTTTTTTTTATGGAAATCTTTATGTTCTTTGCAGTTTAACATTGCAAATCCAACAACTGGGTGCCAAAAGAAGCTTGAGATCGATGATGATCAGAAGCTGTAAGCTTTTTCCCATTTGCCTTTTCTGTTTTTCTGCTTGGTTGCCTCGAAAATTTAGAAACGAAATGCTAGAGAGTAGTTTTACTTTGGTTCAATTTTGATTGAGCAATTAATAAATTTCTGCCTTGTGTTGACCGTTAATAAAAATGGGTTTTTTCTTTTTGATAAATTAGATTTGTTTGTTTGTTTGTTGTTTCTCAATATTTTTAATACCCTTTTAAAATCCTTGGTATAAAAAATTCGATACTTTCTATTTTTTTTTTGTGATTGAAATTTGTATTGATTGCCTAAAATTAATAAAGAAAACAACCCAGTGTCCTTTGTTGTTTATCATCCCATGAAAAGTTATCAAGGTTTTTGTTAATGTGAAATTTGGATGCAGGCGAGCTTTTTTTGACAAGAGGATCTCACAGGAGGTCAGTGGAGATTCCCTTGGTGAGGTATGATCCTACAGCCCTTACACTGCATTTGTTATGATGGGTTTGGTCAATGGTATGTTTAGCTTACCTATGATTTAATGTTTGATAGGAGTTCAATGGATATGTGTTCAAAATCATGGGAGGATGTGACAAGCAAGGATTTCCAATGAAACAGGGAGTTCTGACTCCTGGTCGTGTTCGTTTGTTGCTTCACAGAGGTGGGTAGACTGTGGGGTTTCTGTCTTTGTATAATCTAGCAAACTAAGAATAATGTAATTGGCTGGTCAGGTGTGGAATAATACTTTGAATTAATTTTTTTTTAAAAAATTAATTGTAGAATTGAATGTGTTTTGCATCTTTTGTTGTTTGAGCAGGCACCCCTTGCTTCCGTGGATATGGAAGGCGCAATGGAGAACGCAGGAGAAAGTCAGTTCGTGGATGCATTGTTAGTCAAGATCTCTCTGTTCTGAACTTGGTTATTGTGAAGAAGGGTGATAATGATCTACCTGGTTTGACTGACACTGAGAAACCCAGGATGAGGGGTCCAAAGAGGGCATCCAAAATCAGGAAGCTTTTTAACCTCTCTAAGGAGGATGATGTTCGCAAATATGTGAACACATACCGCAGGACCTTCACAACAAAATCTGGTAGCATTTCTAAGACGCTTTTACTTGTATTTTATTTGATTTGCATGACTATACATAGGGAAGTGCTGATGCATGTATTTGCATGTTTAGCAGTCTTTCTATTTGAAATATTGCAGCAGTTGAAACATTAGAACTGTTTTGCATAATGATTTCCTTCTAGCAAAGTTTTTTTTCTTTATCTTTTTTACCTTTGAATAAATGAAGGTGGCAGGATTGCAATGCGTGATGGTTTGGTTTCATCAAATCATGTAGCCTGGAGCCAGTAACGTAATGGATTAAACTGTTAGTTTGCAAACAGAGATAAATAGAATGTATAGTGGCAAAACAAATCCCTTGATATATTTAAAAGTATAAATTCTCCATTCACAATGATAAGAACAAGTATGTAAGAATTTAACAATCTTTTCAGGTCAGGGCAGGGTTGTTAGGAGAAGCGTGGTAGATGGCTGTTATATTTAGTTCCAAATCATACACAATAATGAGTGCCTTTTTTTGGGTCTGCAGGGAAGAAAGTCAGTAAAGCTCCAAAGATACAAAGGCTTGTAACTCCATTGACTCTCCAAAGGAAGCGTGCCAGGATTTCAGACAAAAAGATGAGAATTGCAAAGGCCAAGTCAGAAGCAGCTGACTACCAGAAACTGCTTGCTACTCGGTTGAAGGAGCAGCGCGAGCGCCGCAGTGAGAGCTTAGCAAAAAAGAGATCCAGGCTCTCAATTGCTTCCAAGCCATCTGTTGCTGCATAGAGTGGTGATAGTTTTGGTGAGGATTCACCATTTCCTTTTTGGTAGTGTAGTAATGTCATGTTTTTGCAATTTCAGTGCTGTAATACTTCTTAAGATGAGATTTGTTTTGTTATTTGATGCTTGTTATGAGCTTTGTTTTACCACTTGAACGCTTTAATTTATAGTTTATTACCTTGTGAAGGTGATTATGGTATGGGAAATGTTACATTTTTTTTTTTGATTTACGTGAGGTGTTCGGGCCAGTTTACGTGTACTATGACTAATTTATATGGTCCATTGAACATCTTGCAAGTCCAATGAACAAGTAAAGCACCGGGGTAACCAACTTAGAATCGAGGTCCATAACCCTGTGCATGGGATGGTTGTTACTAGAACATACCATATTTAACCAACCCAAACTGTTGAGAATTGTAGCACTGTCATTTCAAAAAAGGTTTAACATGTGGAATTGACTCGTTTCGTTACCAATAGTATTCCCTAAAAATCTCCACTAGTATCATGATATTTCTGTCAACTAGATTTCTATTACCCGCACCTCAGTCTAGGCACTTGAGAAGGCTCAAATTGAGGTGTTGGCTAAAGACCAAGCCACCCATTCTACAGCCCATTTCCCCTTTATTATAAAAAGAAACCAAGAGGGCTTGGCGATTCACCATGATGATTTCCCCCCTTGGATTTATCTGTCTGTTTTAGTCTCATTTTTTTTTTGTGGTTCTTTAATGTTGTGTTAAATTAGGTTTGATATTGGTGATTTGTTTTTTAATGATTGTGAATAGGGATTTTGCAGTGTCAGGAAAATGACTTTATTGATGCTTAGTTTGATGAAAAAAAAAACCCCAAAAGAATTAGAGCTTCAAGTCCAAATTTGAAGTTTATAAAAATGTTCAATCTATATTTTTGCTTAAATCAGTGATTGATTTGCACTGTAGGGGTGATTTTTTTTTTTCCCGGTCACTTAACTTTTTTGTTTTAATTTTATTCTTATAAATTGTTGAAATTTGGCTTGATAATTTATTTTAATTACTAGATGCCGACACTTAATAAAATAAAATTAGATTTTATTGATGTAAAACAATCAATGTTTAAGGGATGAAAATCAAAACTAAAATAAATATAATGGGCTGAATTCAATAGTTTGGATAACTTGGTTGGTGTGTGTAATGCACAGACTAATACGTGGAGGAAATAAGTCATGTTTAAACAATGCGTGTGAATTTTTTGGTGGTATTGGAAGCACTATGACAATGTCTTTCGAGAGGGGTGATGGGTGTTTATGGAGGGGTAACAGTAAGGCTTCAATAGTACTCCATTTATTTTCTCTTTTATTTTCGTGGGAATCATATTGCCCAACCAAAATTAAAAGTTACCTTATCATTTTAATATTATTTTAAATTTAGTTTTTATTTTTTTAATTATTTTTTCTTTGAATTCTTTTTTAAGATTGATTTTTTTTTCTCAATTTAATCCTTTAACATTAGATTAATTAAGAATTGGTCTTAGTGATTTTTTTATGGAGTAATTTTAATTTCATTACTTAGATCACGAGTTTAAAAAGTTAACCTAAATTGACATCAATTTCTTTTAAGATTCTTTTTTTTTTAACATTGATTATCCTTAAAAAATAAATTTATTAAAAATTGAGTTTTATAATTTTCTCTGTTTTTTTTTGTGGAGTTATTTTGGTCTCATGATCTCGATTGCAAGTATAATGATTTAGCTTGGGTTGACTCAAATTTTCTTTTAGGTTGTTTCTTTAAGATTGATGTTTTTTATTTTGTCATTCAATATTTGGTTGTATTAGGAATTGAGTTTTAATTTTTTTTTTCTGTTTTTTATTATGTTATCTTGTTTGCATGATTCAAGTCACGGGCCTTGATGAACTTCCCTACATTGCTAGTTTTTTTTAAAAATTTTATTGAGTTACTTTTTGTTTTTTTTTTTTATATATATATATTTTAATTTTATCTTTTAGTATTTAGTTGTTTTGAAATTAAGTTTTATAATATTTTTTATTTTACAAACATTAATGGTGATTGTTTTTTTTCAATATTATATAATTAAATAAAAATATCATTTTGGTTATTGAGGGGTTTATACAATTTTTATTTTTAACATTTTAGTAGCAATTGAATATTGTATTTTTCCATCATTTTTTTTTCGTGGACACATGATAGTGTGGGCAAGTGCGACACCAAAAGGGCCTATATTGACAATGAAAAACTCAAAATCCAACGTCCGCATCTCACACTTTCAGTGTTATAATTTCCTTGAATTTTTTTTGAAATAAATAATTCCCTCATAGGAAAGAAGTTGAGAATAGAGACAAAATCTGTAATTCCCCTTTACTTTTCACATCTTTGTTTTTCAGTCATAAATTATTGGGAGATTTTGGACTAGTGATGTACTGATAATTGTCCATTGGAGACTAAACATATTGACACCATATTTAACGTGGTTCGGTAGATCACCCACATCCACGGGAGAGTCAATATTATTAGAGATAGAGAAAGGATACAAAACAAATACATGGAGAAGCAGGATCATATCCACTCTAATTCAACTCTCAGCTCACACACACTGCTGCATATGGCAACAACTCTTTTTTCTCTCTTCTTCTCTTCACTTCACTCTCTATACTTTCATTTTGTTCTTGGCTCTTTTGGTGTCTGTTTATAGACAGGAATGATGCTCCTCCAACTCATCTTCATTATTGGTGGTCACCTAACCTTTGTCAACTTTGTGACTTTTGGTTGTTGCACCAATAACTCTCTTTGACAATGGAAGCCATCTTCTTCTTGAAGATGGGTATTTGCCACAATAATAATAATTTCCAAACAATCACCTCCTTTGCTATTTATATGGGCAATTGTCTTCTTACTTGTTTAACACAAGCTTGCATCCTGTAGCTTTTCTAAGTTTACCATTTTGAGAGTATCTTTGGCCAAGTTTACAGGTACTTGCCAAACCTTTCAATCACCAGAGTCACCAAAGCACACCCTTACTCACACCAAAGGATCACTTTAATCAGATGGTCTCCCACTTCACATTTAAAGAGTGTTAATGCTTGCCTTTGGGACATAACATTGTCTTTCGAGCGTATCAACCATGCTCGGTCCGAAATGATTTTTCAAAGCTCACACCAAGGCTTATAACACCCCTTCAAACGAAAATTTCTATTTCTAAGTGCGACAATCATTATCTAAGTATTCTAATATGATCATGAGCTCACCACTTTTTCAAGAGTTTACTCATCTAGGAGTTGCGTCTGTCCTTTATTCTACCTTAAAAACCACGCCTTACTTCTCCATGAGCCTTCCACTCTTAGTCTCAAGAGTTCAGGTAGCTCTTCACCTTTAACCATATGGGCAACCTATCAAAGGTTAATCCATATTTGTCTTCATACTCTGAGTATTACAATGTCATTACCGAGCTTATAACCTTGACAAGAGTTAACTTGTTCCAAGAACCTACACATGCATTCTACTCATTCCTACCAATTGCCTTTTAATGCTCCACAAGTCACCCACTTATTGTCTGTAATGTTTTGAAAAAATAAAAAGGAATAGGAAAAGGCAACAAAGCCCTTAAAGGCTTAGAAGTGAGTAAAATGAATAAAGGGTATTGTGGTAATTGAATAATAGTTGATAAATATAAATAGGAAGAAAAAAAAAGAACAAAAGAGGGAGCTGTGTTTTTGAGAGCAAACGTAAGAGAGGGAGAAGGAAGAAGAAGAAGAGAAAAGAGGGGAAAAGAAGGGAAAGGGAAGAGATTGAGAGGAAATAACTTTAAAGGTAAGATTTAGGTTGTTAAATATATAAATGTGTTGTTTGAAATTTAAATTTATGTTTTGATAAATATTAGGGTTTTGAAAATTTGTGTTTTGGGTTAATTGATGAATTAATTTGAATGTTATAGGGTTGATTGTTATGGGTAATTGATTAATTAGTTGATTTTGAGAGATTGTTGGTAAAGATAATGATGTTGAGTTATGATTTGTGTAAATTGTGAATTTTAAGTTGGAAGTCTAGAAAGAACAGTAGGTAATCTGTGAACAATTCTGGATTTGAGGTTGAAGATGATGAAAATTCAATTTGGTCCCTCAATTTGTGGAAATTACAGTTTAGTCCCTAAACTTTGGGAAAATTATAATTTGACCCCTAATGGTATTTTGAGATTCTGGACAGTGTTATTATGAGGTTAAGGATGATAAATCTCAGTTTGATAATTGATTTGGAATATTTTTAGTTTGGTCCCTAAATTTTGGGAATTTACATTTTAGTCTCTAAACTTTATAAAAATTACTTTTAGGTCCCTAGTTCGTTCTGGACAGAATTAAGGATGGTTTATGGGTGAAATTTCAGTATGGTTATATATTTATAGTTTGGTCTAGTTTTGGTAAAATTACATTTTGGTCCCTATTTTGGATAATTGTCGTTTTAGTCCCTAAACCTAGGAGAGTAAACCTAGTTTTATTTTATGCATTAGGATATTTTGTTTGAGTTGTTTTTGATTATATTTCATATATTTTTTTAGGTTCTCCTAACGATCTTCAATAGGATTTTCGGGTCTTTCGTCTGACGTTCCTTTAGTTCTATATTTTTCAGGTGAGTGGGATAATCTTTAATATGCATATAATATAAGTAAATATGTATGTTGATTATATGATGAGTATGATTAGTTAATCTCTTGAATATTTATATTTATATATTTTGCTTTGTTTTCCGAGTACTCATCTATTCTTGAAATTTGCACTCGCATTCTATCGAGCTAAATTCTATCTGATATGATATATGTTTAATTGATGATTTTGTGAATATCTATTATGCCTTGATATAGGACTTGTCAGTAACTCCATGCTAACGGAGAGTAGTTAGCCTATGTGCACATAGTATTCTGTATACCTAGCTGGTGAGAGAGGCATCAGCCTGTGGTGACTGATCATCCCATAGTGGTCACCTTCGGGTATCATCTGGTCACCTTTGGGTGTCATCTGATCTCTGACATGTATTCCACTACGTTATGATAATATGTTTAGTATGTATATGTATATCAAGATAAATCATCTGATAAGCTATTAATATGAAAAATAATCTAAAATGTATATTAAATATTATTCCCTCACCGAGTTGGTTAAACTTACCCCTCATTCTTAATATTATTTCAGGTTCTTAGTTTCTGATAGCAGTTGGACTTTGTTGAGTGTTTTTGCTTCTT